TACTCGTACATGGGCCATCCAACACTAAAATATTTTTTTAATTCAAAACAGAAGTTCCTGAGATTTGCGTGTTGAATCAAACAAACTATTTATAATATTAGTATATATAGCTTCAACAAATCTTTGTAGAGATTGATACAATACAATTGTCACTTATGTTTAAAAATATTTTATGTAATATTTACAGTCAATACATAAATATTATATTATTAGTCGATAATGTAAACTAGTATACATTAATATAAAACATTAATAACTGGTAAGAATTTTCGTAAACTTATATAACTTCTAACATCAGGACGAGTGCGGCTTTCGTCAAATCTTGATAATCAGGTCAGTAAGCTTTATATGCGATCCCTATTAAATGCTTTATTGGGTTTTTTAATGATTTATTCTTGTTCCTTTTTTTAGTTAAAAAAACACAAAAGGGCACAGGACTAATCCAGATAGTCGAATCTATTATTGAGGTCGAGAAGGAGATTATGATGAATCGCTATTATATCTTTTCGACATTTTGGATCGAGTAGCAAGTACGTTGGATATTAGGAGGAAGGAACATTTTCGAATAATTTTTGGCAAATAGCATATTTGCCCGAATGATTTATCCACTAAAGATATAAACTCCCAGAATGGAAGCAATCAAAGGAAGTACCAGTAAAATGTAGATAAGTTGAATGTTGATGCTATTTGGTATCATATTTACAACCATAATAATCGTTAAAACTGCCAAGCCTACTTGTCCATTTGAATGGTTAATAAATAATTAAAATCATTTTCTGTTCCTATAATCCATTCTTTATAATATAATAATGAATTATATAGTTTAGATTTCTAGTTAATGTAAATAGGAAACTTTACTAAAAATTATATTATTGTAAAGAATTGCGATATACAGGAAGAGTAAGCATGGGTAGTTTTTTTTTTAAATAGTGTTTTGTTAGTGTTTTTAAATACTATTTCCCTTCTTTTCAATTTTAATTTACTATTGAAATATTTGATGCATGTGGAATTTTTTACACGAAGCAGTTGAAGGAAAAGTTGATCTAACAAAGGAATAGCTTATATTTTATGAGTTGTATCGCAGGGCTACAGGCATCACAGGTGAGGCCATTTATCACCCTAGCAGAAGCAGGCCCGAGTGGCGTGACGCTACACGCTAAAGAGCGCGCGCGAGACTATCTGTAAGCCGTAAATGGCCCGGAGTTCATCGGGGTGCTAGGGATTTCACTTTTTAGGTTACATCTGGTTATCCGGCTAATAGTGCCCGAGACGTTGTGCAGGTGTCATCAGTTGAGTCCAACAGGTCCACCCCACCGGCTGACCGGTGGAAGGTATTCGAGGGAGTTTTCTCACAGTAAAAAAGGGCTAAAGCCATTGATGACTATTATATTTATTTTTATATTTACTTAAAGCCCCTAAAGCGAAGCTTCGAAATGCTGGGAATTAATCAATAGCTAGCTAATGACATTAGCTGTTTACAATAGTTTAAATAACTTTTCACACCGAACGTTTTGTTTTTCAAATGAAGGACGGTTCAAGGTATCGGTTTGAATTCCTAGAAGCATGTGCTACTTTCATGAAACATGAAACGTATTCCAGTTGCACTCCTAGAACATAATTATACAACTTTTTTAATGGGTAAACAAGTGTAGGTCTACTAGACTATCCACAAATTCGCTAGAAATACATCTCTTGAGTCGAACTAATTTTTAATCGACTTCAGAAAAAAGGAGGAGGATCACAATTGGACTGTATTTTTTTTAATGTTTGTTACCCGATTACTCAAAGACGCCTGGACCGATTTAAAAAATATTTTATTGTTATAAAAGAGTACACTTCCCATGTGTTCCCATGGTCATCAGGTCAGGACCTTATGATGACTTCCCAGAGAAATCGAGGGTAACTCTCGAAAATTGTAGGCACGAATTATGTAAAAACCTGACATAGATATGTATCTCTAACGACACTACAAAATAATAGAGATTTCCTCAACGGTTTAAATGATATTTATTTCTGTAAGTAAATGAGCCGGCATTTCTTAAGACTCACTCTGGGCAGAAACGCCGAAACAAAAAACAGAGGTCTTTTTTTTTGTCCGTAAATAAAGTTAAAAAAACTGTGAGAGTACAGTGTAGGGTCTGGGTAAGCGTTTTGAAGAAAGGACCATAGATTTGAGTAAGCCTGTCCATACAGACGGCATACTAGCCCAATATACTAATATCTTAACTATAAGTTCAACGACCCGAAACGCGTCACTACCGCTAGAAGGTCATTTGAGTAGGCCGTGGCAACTTTTAAAACCACCAGAAAATTACTCACATTTACGTAATTGCACAAAAAAAATACTATAAAATTAAAGTTCAATAAAAAAATTTAAAAATTGAGAACAAACTAAATACGAAATACAACAATACATTAAATGTCCATCACTTTCAAGCATACCAACAATGATAGGAACGTAAACGGAGTGAGCAGCATCAATCCCAACCAAATTTGTCATCTAAATAATCTGTAACCGTGTAGTAAGGTTTTTTCACATCACACACAAACATTTAATTTTGTTGTGTTTTTGTTTTCACAAACCGCGTTTAATTATTTATTATATCGCAAAACTTTAAACATGAATGAGGTTAAAACTTTCTCCTTGTATAATAAATATTTACATTCTTAGTAGAATTCTTAGATCTTGCTGACATAATATTACCAAAACACACGATAATAAACTATAAACTGAGCATTACCAAACAAAATTTTCGTTCATACTCTGGCTAATCCCGAGAACAATAAGATAAAACTATTTTGATGCGGTTTTCGCTTTCATAACTTTGCTGAAGAAGATTTACGTGTAGTCGCCTTTCTTGTGTCACACTATTATTATTGTGACAAAAGGAGTGCGAGGAAATGTAAATACACAAAGGCAAGAACGTTACAATAATTTGACGTTTTTCTATTATGTTAGTCGTAGGTCCTTTATGAGAACAAAATAAACGTGCTTAGTTGGTAAACCTAAATAAAGTACAAAGATAAATGATGACGCAGCACACTATATTCTTTATGATATTTAGAAAGACTTCAAAGATACGGATATTGGTATTTTCAACTGTAAGTGTTTTAGTGGATCGTATTTTGCCTAATTAGTCTATTAGCATATTAACCTTCTGGTTTCGAATCTTTTAAATTCTCATAATCAGATGAGAAATTGTGTGTGTGCGCTTGATATTTTCTCGAGTCTGGACTGCTTTTTTAGTCTGTGGTGTAACTGTGGTAAACGTTTTGGGTGTTGAATGTTGAGTTCGAAGATTGAATGGGATAGTTGGCCATTTGATATCTTTGTCCTAGTAGCGTTACACATTTTACCGGTGCCAACAAAATTAAGTAGGAATATGATTATAATAATATGATATGATTGACTGCCTAGGTGGTGCAGTGGTAACGTATGCGACTGCTGTGGTGAGGTCTCGGATTCGATTCCCGGGTCGGACCAAATGTATGTATGATCTTCAATTATTTGTTTCAGAGTTTGGGTTGTTTCTATGTATAATATGTATGTATTTACAAAAAAAAGTATGTAAGTATTCTATCAGTCAATCTAGTTTTCATATTACAAGCTCTGCTTAGTTTTAAACTAGATGACGTTGTGTCCATGTCCGAAAATATTATTATATTTTTACTAGCTGACCCGGCAAACTTTGCTTTGCCTAAAAAAAATATTTAGGGATGGGTCACCCTTACCATTTAGGGGTATGAAAAATAGATGTTGACCGATTCTCAGACCTACCCGATGTGCACACAAAATTTCATGAGAATCGGTGAAGCCGTTTCGGAGGAGTACGGGAACGAACATTGTGACACGAGAATTTTATATGTAAGATGATGATGATGAAGAGGATAGAAATTGAGGGAAGAAGATGATGAAAATTCTGAGGAAGTAACTTTCTGATAGTAAATAAGGTGTAAGCAACTGATCAGGGGTATGCCAGCACATATAACGAAATCGGTAAGATATTTGCTTTAGTGAATACAACATTATAGAACCGGAACTACAACAATTGCTATTTCGATAAAACCTAGAAAATCTATATTATTCTTATTCAACCATAACTTTAAATAAAGAACTAACTATTGGCTTCAAATAACAAAAAACTAGATGAAAAACTTATCTTGAATAACGTAAATGAAAATTCTTTAGAAAGCAATAAATAATTACCTGTGTCAAGTAGCTGATTTATTGGTTATATCAAATTGTGAACCGACTCGGTCAAGTTACTTCAGCGTATAGATTGAAAAACTTTTATTTCCGATAACGAATGATAAGTTGGGCATTTTAAAAACTTTGGTCACATTAATCTGGGATTCTAAATGAGCTATTTTGTGTGTAAATTTTGTTTGAAGATTTCATGAAAGTAAAAATGATTGAAATCAATTTAAGCGAGTTTCTTAAACTTATGTACCGAAAAATGCTAAAACTAACACCACCTAAAACACGCTTTTTTAGAGTAGAACAACAGAATAACTTAGAAGTTTATGATCCCAAAGTACCTCTGAATAGCTCTAAAATGCTCATTCACGAAATCTTCAGGGGTACTTCAAATCAAGTCATATCATAACTTGATCCGTTTAAAACTAATGTGATAAAGAACAGGTATTGTTTTATACCATCACGCACGGACGCATCATCACGCTTTAGACCATCTACACATCCATACTCTTTAGAGGAAGCGAATAAACAAACTTGTTAAGGCAGTCTTTACTCGACCACTTTCCTCTGCACAAACTACGCGCATAGCTCGTTCCAATTTAGGAGGACTAAACCGTGCTGTAATCGCTACTGCAGTAAGATGTACCGAACATGGCAGAATAACACTCTGTCTCGGTAACTACCGAGGCTATGCGAAGAAATGACATTTTCGAATTTAATCAGCGCGGGAAGGAATGCCCAGGTATTTCATTGGTTTCTGTGTTTGATATAAGTCGTGTTTGTTTGTGTATGTGTATTTAAAATGGGAATCAAGTAAGATTTACTTTTATTTTGTTTGTAAATAATTAAGGTTTTTTGAATACTTACTTTTGTTTAGTTAAACTTTCATTATCTCTCAATTCGGTTTTCGTTTGTTGTGACTTGTGATCAAAGAAGTTTAGCAATATAACATTCGTATATAATAATGAAATCTCTCTTGTTTTATTATTCTACAGAATAACCAAAAGTTTTGGACATACACTTACGGTGCTTTTTAGTACCGAATTCGTGTATATGTATATTTTTATTATTAAACCTCTACTGCTGAAGTTTTAGCAAGGATCAATTTTATTTTACGACTGAGCATGTGATAAAAACAAAGAAGTTTCCAATACAATACTAATAAAATTTAGGAGCTTTGAATTGAATCTGTGCAATGCTTTACTCTTTGAAATAAGGATTGTTTTATAACTATTCAGTTTTATCTGTGTCATGTTCAGTTGATTTAACAAAAAATGAAGTTACCGTTATTAGGAGTTATTTGAATTAAAATTAGGTTATTCCCCAAATATTTGTCAGTCTTGTCATGTGTTTTAAGTATGAAATAATGATAAAACCGTTATAAAAAACGCTGACTTCTGAAAAATCTAGCTATGTATTAATATCATATAATGATATTAAAAGATAAATTAGAGAAAGATTAAATTTAATAAAATTTAAAATATTTATGAATTAAAAAGTGTTTAAATAATTATATAATTGAGAACTTTTTATGCTAAGACGGAATCACTCGTAATAACCCGTCTCTCATAGTTATTAATTAAAACGTAATCTTCATTCAAGCACCTCTGAATTCCCAATGTTTATTAATCAATTGCTTTGACTTTGAATAAAATATCGTGAAAAACGCGGCATATTTGTTTTTTGTGTATTAGTCCTTCAATTGGTACTGGGTTAAGGGAGTGGATTAACATTCACCTATATACTTTTTTTTTTGTAAATACATAGAAAACACCCAAACTCCGTAACAAATATTTGAAGATCATACAAACATTTGGTCCGACCAATAAAAAACAGTAATAAAATATAAAGGAGCAGCAGTTAAGTCAAACTTACTGAAAACCATTTCCTTCTCCATAGCAGATTATAACAAGCAATTCATGTTTGTTTTGGTGTATTCAATTAATTAACAGCATCCATAATTTGGTGCAAGAGTCGAGACAGTTCAATTTTCGTAACGGTCGTCTCCTAAGTATTTTGAGTCAAGCTCTGTTTACAGTAGCGCTCTGGTATTTAATTAGGTTACAGTCTAAGTTATTTACTGTACAGTTGTATTATTAACCGAAGGACGGGAGGAATTTAACACTGTTGTTTCTTTGTATCCAGTTTATAAACATAAACAGATAATTAACTTAGGGGTTCTCAGCTTTGAATAATTTTTAAACAATATTTTTATTCTTAGTAGAACAGAAGTTTGAGTTGAGAGTGCTTTAGAGTTCGATAATTATTCGTAATTTTTCAATTCAATAGATTCGTAATTTTTTAAATTCATTATTATTGAAGTCTATTAAGAAATAATAACTGCTAAAATCTCTTTTCTAAAGAGAGGTCTATGTCCAGGAGTGGACTATTAAAGGCTGTTGATGTGAAATAAGTATTGATTTTAAAACAAATTTGTAAAATTCATTTTTTTATCAAATATACAAGCTTTGTATTTTGTTTTGTTTATTTAATATTATTATAAAGATCTTAAGGTTAGTAAATTTTATAAAACGTGTCAACGTTATAATGCATTAACTAATTTATTTTGATACTAAATATTTTATAGTTTTGTTTTTGGAGAAGGAGAAAAAGCCGTGAAAAAAGTCCACTCTAATTTACGATCTCTAACTTTATGAAAGAAAACTATTGTTAATTATGGCACAAAATTATAATTTTGAAATATTTTTTAAATAATTTATTTAAACATGTCTACACAGTTACTTATGACCACATTGTTCGAAAAACTGATCAGAAAAACGACCGTGTTCACCACATAATTATTTGTCTTGGATGGGAATCGAACCAACGAACCAGGCTCAGCAGTCAGGGTCACTAACTACGAGACAAACAGGCCTTATGTTTTACTTTGCTTTTATTTCTATTCCATCTTTTTTCTTTATCTTGTATTCTCTTGATTATTTTTTACCTTTAACTTTTAAATAACTAACATGTTGGGACACATTAAGTCAAGGTTGTAGTAGATTTAATGATGCATTTGGTCTGGTATCTATATCCAGTCTGATAATCTGGTAATTTGAAAGAGTTTATTGTCATTTTCTTCTCTACCCCTTGGAAACGGGCGGTTGTCGATCGGCACAGGCATTTCATAGATTTTCTATAGGTATATTTTTATTTCCCTAAATAGTTAAAAAACATATACATATATATACGAGTATATATATTGTTATATATATACTCGTATATATAACAATATATATTATGACTAAAGTAATTATGTAAGAGACCATTATGTGTAGCCAGCGTGGTATAGTAGGCCAAACCTCCTTTCTAAGGAAAGCCTTATGTCCAGCAGCGAACTACTAAAGGCTGTTGACATGATGATGATGATGTAACAGAGGATTTTAAATAATTTTTTAAAGAATTTTGTGACATAAAGATATTTTGACTTTACTATGACTTTGTAATAAATTTACGCTTATATTACTTGGATTAAATCATTTCTAATAACTTATTTTGTAGAATCGAAGTATATTGGGGCAAAGCAATAATTTACATTGTTTTCATACTACCCTTCCTGTGATTCATAACGGGATTAAACCTTTACTGGTATACGTTTCTAAATATATTTAGTTTAATTCGTTGCTGTGTGTGTAACGATCAATCTAGTTGTTATTTATAACCGATAATCAGTAAATTTATAAAGACATGTTTTAAATGGAGATCTACAGTATTCAACGGTATATCATATGATGATGTTTTTACTTCAACACTTGTTGAGCATCTGTAAATAAATGTTTACTTTAAAGAAGTATCGTAAACTGAATTTTTAATTTCTAAATTTTCTGGGTTGTATTTTGTCTGCTTTGAATCTAAATGAAAGAGTTCTAAAAGTAACAAAAAATACTCCCTCTTACTATAGTATAATTAGTACAGTAACTACTTAAAACATATAGTCCATATTCATATTATAAATGCGAAAGTGTGTCTCTCTGTCTGTCTATTAATTATCTCTTCACACTTAAACTGCTATACCGATTTAGGTGAAAATTGGTGTGGTTTTTATTTCAAAAATCATCCAAAAAGGGGGATGGAAGTTTGTATGGTGAATCAATAACCGCTGAACCGATTTAGATGACATGAATGATGAACTTTACAATAAAGAATCAGAAAATAAAACCTGGTCGTGTCACCATTCTATCTAATACAATTCTAAAGTTAATCAATACAAATTATAAAATTGTAATAAATACCAACTACAATAAATATGTCAAATTAATCCGCAAAATTATCAATACTGTATGTCAAAAGAAGATTTTGACAGACATACATTGTTACATCATTCAAAAAAATAATGTTTTCAAACTAGAAAAGCGTGTGACTTTTTCTTAAATTAACTTAGGTTGTTTTAATTTTTCCAATGTGATGGAATCTTATTATATATTTTTGGACCCATTCAGAATATACATACTATCATGAAGTAGTTGCCAAATCAACAGTTTAATTTATTTAAAATTATCAGTAAAATTTAACTCTCTTCACATTTCAGGCTCATAATCTTATTGGCGTTGCTGGTGGGCGTGTTGTACTCCCTTCATCTCCTGGTGAAGGACTACCAAGCTCTCTCGGCAGGTTCACGACTGTTGCGTATGCTGTTTAAAAGAGACACTAGCTCACAAATTTATACAGTAAGTTTTTCCTGGTGTTGTGGTATAGTAATGTTATAGATAGAGGGTTGATAATGACTTCCTTTGTTAAAATTAATAAAGAAGTTTTATTTATTTAGGTACGCTTAACCGTATGTCATAACCTTAATATTTACGCTGCAGTGTCGCACAATTATTACCCATAAACGGCCAGAACTACTTGGTTAGGACTTAATGGTCGTCCCCGCTGGAGGCTTCACGTGCTGGCTTTGCTGCCGCCGAGGCGCTTCAGCCCGTCATCGTCGACTAGGCAGGGCAACAGCACGGTACCCTTTTCTATCCTTTTCGGGCACGGTGGCTTCGGGAAGTACCTGCACACGGTCGCTAAGAGGGAATTGAGTCAAGCCTGTCACCACTGTGCAGTAAGGACTTGGCTCAGCACACGCCAGGATTGGGCGTCGCAGCCTCAGTCAGTCATCAGAGAGGATCTCTCGCTACCTGCCGTCATACGCTCCACGGCCAATAGTGACATGTGTTTTACCGTGGTCGCATCCTTCAGCAAAGACGTCATCTACGAGGGCGGCGAAGATGACCTATTTCTTCTAAAGCGAACCTGGCGGCGGATTCTCAAATGCCAGCGTCTCATGCCGCCCTGAAGGTAGCCGCTCGTGAACAGGACGGGATTTCCCCTCCATCCGCTACAATCGCCAGCCGCGAGGACGCGACGTCCGCAAGTGCTGAACGTCGTCGGCAAGCGCTATGAAAGGTCCGGCTGTCGTAAAAATAGCTGTTCCCGGATCCCTCCTATTTTAGGCGCAGAGTGGCACACCGTATGGTTTTAGTAGGTTTGATTCCAACACACCGACCCGCCGATAACCCTGGCCCACAAAAAGGCATGTCCACTCGTAAAACACTAACACTAAGAAGTACAAGAAGAAGGATAACTAACACACCTCCACCTCTCACCAATATGATATTTTTGTTAATTAAGTTCGCACCGCTCTATTTTTGTTTTCATAAATATTGTCGAAACTCCTGAAAGACTTGTTTTACTGTTTATACCTGGTGTTGTACAGTCGCGGACTAACGAAATGTCACACTTTCGGTAAATTCCAATAAGTTGGTTTATCAATAATTGCATATATCGATATTAGATTTCCGAAAGTGATTAACCCGTCAAATTGAAAAATGCCGGCACAACAACAACGGAACAAATTTTCCGTTTACAACACGACTATGTAATGAAATAAAATTATAATAAAAATAATTTGACCTTACACATTTGTAATGCCTTGTAATGTACAATATTTTTCGTTTTTACTTCTGGAGAGAAAACAAATAGCGCCGATGGTTGCCGACTTTCGAGCACGCAACGTACAAGTGAATAACATGCGAAAAACACGGAAATTCAAGGTTTATTCCAGACGCTTCTAACGATCGGCCTTGGGATTTATTAATATTGATAGAATATTAGAATTGATATTTATATATGTAGGTTTATGTTGCAATGGATGTGTATAATGTGTGTCACATAGTAAAAAAGAATACCTTAAAAGATTGTAACCGTGTTTTTCAATTTTACTCGTATTTGCATCAAATAATGTCAATTGGCACGCACTATTGTAATTTTGAATATTATACAAGAAATGCTTTGACAGGTAAATTTACTGGTTCAGGTGGCGTCATCAGTTGTGGTAATTTGACCTTCTATGACCTTTTGACATGATCCTGTCGGTTCGAGTCGAAACTTCAAAGCATTGCAATATTGCTCCTTGCTACAAATAGTGCTCCTTGTTCCGAGATTGACCGATTTATCGCCGGCGTAATCGAATGTTGTATCATGTCTAAACGCCAAACGTGCATAGGTAATTGTTACGTTTGATTGTCTGTTTGGTTGCCCCCTTGTTGACGGTAGTAAATAAAGGCAACATTAAAATACAATTAAAGATGTATTCCAGGGTCTCACTAAAGAACGCATTGCTCGTACACATGTTTATAGGTTGTACGTTTAAGAGTTGCATTTTCTTAGTGTTTTTAGATAATATGTTTCTTTAGGTTATGACTTAATACTAACTATTAAAACTTCAATTATAATCAATTGCAATCGAATTTAAATCAATCAAATGATTTTATTAAGTAAGGTAGTTTGTAGTTGCGCCGATGTCTATGAATTAAAATAAGCATACTGTCAAACTTGACAATAATGTATTGTCAATATATAGAATATCTGTCAGTCATCTATCTCATTCACTCACCCACGTTTTAAGAGTATATTAAGGTGGTGTAATACTGTGTAATGATGTAATCTCATTATAAGAATTTTAGACGTATATGTTCGTTTATTAAAAGTCAGCTTTTAACCAAAACCAGTGTAACCTGGTCAAAAAGTTAGGCAATTCAGAAGCTCTATTTGATCGTGTTTATTACCGTACGCAAATATAATTGAAAATTATACAATGTGAAGGGTCAAAATGTCTAATTTAGTATCGTTCATTATTGCCAATAGTTTAATTTATAGCCCAATTTAGACAATCATTGTATTATAAAAATCACGGGGGGGACGGATTAAGAATACGGAGTGTCATCACCCCTATAAGAGCCTACTAAGGGAGTAAAGTAAGAAGGACAACAGCACTTCAGTAAGAAGGAAAACTTGAAACAACCCGTCTAGCCAGCGTGATATAGTAGGCCATAACCTCCTTCCTAAGGAAAGACCTATGTAAAGCAGTGGACTATTTAAGGCTGTTGATGATGAACTTGCTTTGTTTATTAGTAAATGTTGTTTTTTTTTTAAAGGAGAAAGCTAAATTGCTTGTGTGAGGAGTGGGTTCACGTCGGTAGTGTACTGGCCAGGATTTGAACAAGTGGTCGTCACTTGATCGCAATCTAATGCCTTAACCAGTAGGCTATTGCCGCTTCTTTTGTCATAACAGTTATACCTACTTGTATTATAATTTCTTTTTAATGTCTTATATTGTTAATGTTGTATGTGTTTTGTATTTTCAACCTCTTTATTTTCGTTAATTTTAAATTATTTTTATAAAATGTCAAGGACTGAGCAACTCTAATCCATGGTTACCTGATACTACTAAATTAATAAGTAAAATTTCTTTCCATTACTGTTTACTTCTGTTATCAATTTCTTGTAAAGACACGATAAGCCCATTACTGTTCTGTAGGGATGAGTTCCTGGAACAAATTTATTAAATATGTCACAAGTCACACGTCACAAACATCACAGAAAATAATTTATGTGAGAGTTATGATTTTATTTGAGAGAATACAATATGATTATGTTTGTGAATAAAGAAAATATATATTTGTAGGATAAAACATAATGTTGGCGTTGACTTGCTAGACTGCTCTGTTACGTTTAACTTATTACATATTTCTATTGGGTTTTTTTATGGAAGAGGAGGCTAATGAGTATACGGGTCACCTGATGGAAAGCGACCACGCCTGAAACTCAGGAGTTACAAGTGCGTTGCCGGCCTTTGAGGAGAGAGGACGCTCTTTTCTTGAAGGTTTGAAGGGGTCGGATCGGTCCGGAAATATCGCAGCCAATAACATCTAATAAGATAGATCAGCAGTGTCAAACAGTATATCCTAGTCGATGGACGCTACGTTCTTCAACGTATTCGTGATCATACAATACTATAATATATAAGATATAAAGAATAAATAAATTGGTTGTTTCGTGATTAAATTGATCTAAATTAATTTATCCTCTTTAGGTACATATTTATTTCCATATACAATTGAACGGTGCCAAGTAGAATTATATTGTTTTACAAAATATATGTATTTACTATTTGAGAAAACAATACTGCAACAAACTTTACCAGAGCATGTTGTATAGATAAATATACCAGTAACGTGTTGGCAGAAAAATCTTGGAAAAGACATAAATAAATCCATGCTAATATTGTAAGTGTGTCTGTCTGTCTGTGTGTTGCTCTTCACGCTTAAACGCTGTACCGATTTAGATGAACTTTGGTATAGAGATAGTCCGAGTCCCGGGAAAGGACATAAGGTAGTTTTTATCGAAGAAATCATACTATAACGGGGTGAAGATATATGCTATTGTTTACCACGATAACCGAATTTTACGCAAAAGCTAGTTTAGAATATACCTACCCAAAGTTATGAACAATGTACAGTTTACCCATATCTACTATTATTATATTTTGTATCTATAATTTAGTTAATATTCAGTGTATGCTGTTTCACCATTTCATTGGTATAAATTGAAATTCGTTCTAAAACTAGCTTCTACTAAATAACAACATTATTAATGCGAATGTGAGTTTGTGTATTGGTTTACGTCGCTTTCACGGCTTAACTGGAATAAGATAATAATCAAGATAATAATAATAAGATAATAATATTTAATCAAGTTACCAAGTTATAAAACTGATCATCAGATAATTGTGCATACACGTTATCCGGCATACATATACAGGTATAAGGTTTTGATTTAAAAAAAAATAGTCATGATTAATCGTTACATATGTACGAGGACTTTTTGCATGAATCCAAACTATACTCGGGTAAGCCGTGAGAGATATGAAAGATTTGCCATGGTAACCGATAGGATTGTCAAACAATAGATAGTCAATAATTTTGAAAGTAACCGCAAATTTTAAACGTTATCTCTGTTACTACAACATGGACAGCTTTCTATACGATTGACTGCAATACGCTCGGCAACTTACGTAATGAATTCATTCGATTTACTTACATGCAAGTGCAAGGCAATGAATGCTTTTGGAGAACGTATGCTCAGTTATGCATTTCTGATTAATATGACGTGTTTATTGTCAGTTTTTAGGTATTTATAGATATTATACATTACCGTATAAATTTGTTATTTCAAGTATGCTGTGTAATTCAAAGAAATGTGTGTAAAAACTAATTTACCTATGGATAAATTAGATTTTCAAGGTCTCATTCAATCGTACGATCATAAGAAGATTGCATAAAAATCGTAAATTTTATAAAACTATGTTGGCAAACAAATACCTGGATCACTTGATTCTTAGTAATTACCGATACCTATAAAAGGCTTCATCTAGTGTCACTTATGCGGTCTCAACCATTTATATCCTCATCGGAGGTTCTTGCTAGCAAAATGACCAGTAAGCAAAATACTGGCTAATAGGCTTGACGAAATGCGGTCTTCTGTAGTAATAACGTTAGTCGTGTGACAATTTATAGAATAGAAAGATGTAAAAAATTTCAACCTGCCTAATTTTCGCATTTTAGATAAATCTTTTAAATAACTACAAACACAATATTTAGACTTTAATCACTAGCAACAAGAATACGTGACAAACAGTGATGATAACGTAATGATGTTTAGAATTGCACAATGTTAGTAACGTAACACTAGACACAATTACATAAATCAATTCGTTTAGTAGAATAAAAAAACATGTTTAGGGTTTTGATAAACTATAATCATAAATGTAAAAATTCAAATACATTATAAAGTAAGAAATATGAAGTGTAGAAACTATATCAGTCTGTCAGTCAATAACAGAGTGGTATACTTTATCAAAAAATATCACACAATCCGATTACAGTGAAAGACTCATTACAAAGGCACTCATTATATTTGTGAAGTAGGCTGTCAACAAGGCCGCGTTAATGTATGAGGATCCTCGCCTCTTCGTTAGACGGCCTTTTGTCAAGGTTTTTAAATGAAAGCATTCCATCCATTTCACTGGAGTCCAAATAATAAACATCGTTGTTTTATTCGCCTGTTTAAATAAATTATCAGCTATTTGCAAAAGAGTGTTTTGGGGTTCTGGGCCAAGCGAACGTTTTCACCCTATTTATTTTACTTGCTAAAGCATTTTAACTGGGCCAATTTTGTACTTTTGTACTGCAGTTATAATGGCGTAGTAAAACGCTTTATTGTATTATCTTTCAAACGCTCTACTTTTGGGAAAAAGAGTCATAAACACCAGAAATCAAGCGTTCTACTTTTGGTAAAAAGAGTCATTACATTTTCAGTCATTTGGCTATAAACGTCTAACAATGCTTTTCAATACTTGACTTGACTGCAAGGATAGCGTAGTGGTTTAAGCAGTCGCCCCACCGATTACTAATACGCTGAGTATTGTGGGTTCGATCCCCTTAATAGGACGACACTTTGCGTGATCTACAAGTTGTTGTTCCGAGTCTGGGTGTTCTTTGTGTCCGTTTCATGTATTTTTCTGAAAGTGCCCGCGACACAGTATTTATTCGTAATGCGGGAATCGTCTTTGTAACTAAAACAAAAAAAATTGTAAGTGAGCTTCAAATAAAAAAAAGTGCTACACAGACATATTTAATGTCTTAACATACCCTGTAGGTCAACATCACAAACTTAGTCTTCCTTATTTTTTTAGTTATGGTTGTGCACCTACCTAGAAAACAGTTTTGACAACCACAAGATCGTAATTATTATGTAAAAGGTTGAAAATTCTTAAATTATTCTTCTAACAATTATCCAACAGAGATTAACATCTCATTGTAGATATAGATGCATCTTTATACAAAAACATTATTAATAATAATAATAATAATGAAGAGAAGTCGTACGTCGTCTCAGCCTATGCTTGTCCACTGCTGGACATAGGCCTCTCCCAATGATTTCCAGCGGGGACGGTTGATTGAAGAGAAGTAAATAAAGACAATAATAATAATTGATTTCAGAAATATTTCTTTTCCATATAATAAGGATGGAGCATAAAAACCCAAAGAGGAATAAAAATAAAAATTTTAACGCGTTTTTTTAACCTACATAAAAAATTCAAAGGCAGATTGTTACCTGCGTCAAATATATGTATATTATAATCTGTTGATCTATCAAGTTATATAAATCTATGCAAAGATATAATTATACAAACACACTAAATACATAAACATTCACCAATTTATAAACTAATAAATATATTTAAATGTTACATGCAATTTAAGTGACACGTGATCTTCCTACTCTTAATATGCGGGTTATTCCAACCCAAAATTATTGATAGAAAAGTGATTTTGTTAATTTGTTAATGTCAATTTTACGTCTGAACTACTCAAAGAACAATCATGCAAATTCTGCGTATTCGTTGTAAGGCATAGGACATGAACAAGGTTCCCACCTCTTTCATGTAGAAAAAAATACTATTCTAATAAATTGTTATAGTAATTTTAACATAAGCAAAGCCAGAAGCAAAAGCTAGTTACAAATAATAATAAACAAAGTTTCTAACGTAGGCTCCTCCCACCAACGTTTTTGAAATTTGTGCTGTTAGGTTTAGAACAAAAGTTTCCTTACATAAAATGTTTTGCAATTGTTAGGAGTTACAATAAAGACAAGGAAAGTTAGAAACAATTTCAGCAATATAACAAGACAATCAAATTTATAATTTCAACAATTTCCTAGTAGGTATACACCTGCCTTTGATACGTTTTTAATCGTTGTGCTTTTTGTACTTTGGGTACTTTAGAAAACATCTAAGTTCTACGTCTGATTAAAGAACTATGCTTCACTACTCTAACAGCGAGGTATCGCTCTAAAGACTTTGTGTTGTCAATACCATTTTAATGCACAGAAGTAGTTTCTTCTAATTAAATCTAAGTTTTTTTAGATAATGTTCTTGGCTTCATAGTCGACAGTCAATAAAATAAGGGAAACAACTCAGGCTACACTGATAAATTTATTATTATAGAAAGTGCAACACATGCAGGCATTATCATTAAACGTTAAAAATTAAAGATAGCGTAGTCAAAGTTAAGTCTACGAAGTTTCAAAGTTTTACATATTATTGTACGCTTCGGAACTTAACATTACCAAGTTAAGCATTACTTTCTATTTAAGGCTGCCTTTGCATTTGCAGCGATGTTTATAATTTCCCTTGGAAGAGGCCTATGATAGGCGTAATGGTGATGACGATGCGACGACGACATTAGCCTATCCGGATAGGGTCACACAATGTAACTTCCCTAACAACATACAAACTTCATGCTACCTATTTGTTCATTCTTTAATTTTTAGTAAAACTTGTTTTCTGCTAAATGATTTTGGTTGATAATTCATATTATCTTACAAACGCATGTCTATTACAATAATATCATCGATGTACTAAAAGTATTGGATGCCATATTTAGACGGAGATACATTAAAGGCAGCATTCTCAAATGTGCATAAAAATTCGGTTGAATGACAGTTGAATTGTACAAATTTGGACTGAGTTTTCAATTCAATTACTCTAAGGCAAAAATATTTGAGTCTCTTTTATAGTTTGATCCAAATTTTATTGTACCGAGTATCTTATATCCAGCTCTTTCTGTAAGGATAAAAGGATTGAAGGATATTAATTGGTCTTGTATTTTGATACTTGACCGTCAAATAATAGCTTCATAACAAGGTTAAAATAAATTGGGTCTACTTATACATATTTATATATCTTTGCATTTTCTTTCATTTAATATCTTTCCATTGTGGACCGCAAAATAAGCTTAGTGCTTAAGGTTTATATTTAAGCGAAATCTTTTAAACAGCTAGTTGAAAATAATTTATCTGCATTTCATTACAAAAAAGTAATCTGTTTTAAACATTTAAACAAGGTAGTTTAAATTTTACGTCATTTTAATGCCTTACATAATGCGTTTGAATTTTACAGAAACCAGCTGTGAGATGGAAAAGAATATTGCGGTATGACCCAATACAATGCGGAAGGTACTTCTATTGTGAACTGGGGGCGCAACCCGCAAACAATGAGGTGCGACAAGGCTTCATCTATATGCTTAAGTAAGTTATCTTTAAACATGATTTGTTTTGTTTGAAATCTTTCACGATAACTTGATTCTTATATGACTACTGAGTTTCAAAATTTCAATTAGTAAACCTCTTAAATTGTATATTGAATGATACAAATGAAATTAACTTATATTAAAAATGAAGTTACTTTTCTAATACTCGTAGTTACACACAGTAGTAAACAGATTGAATTCAAATACTAAAGATAAAAAAATAAAATGAAAGTTTATAATTATAAATAAGTTATAGTTTGTATGGTCTCTGTACAGCCGTAGCTAACTTTCCAGATTTCAAAGACCGATACTATGAAATTTATATAATGAATTTAGACATTGTATAAGTATATATTTCAGCAATCTGGTTACCATGGTATATGCTCTGCCTAGTTTGAGATCATACACCCGTGTGTGAGATAATTGAGGTTAATTTTATTTGTTCAACCAAGGGTTTAAATGTTTCCCTTCCTTTCATCGTCTTTTCCTCTTTCTTACTTTTCCATTCAAACGTACTTCCAACTTTTACATCTGTTATTCCTTAAACGCCTGATTAACAATAATAGAATTGGCATAGGGGTACGTACTCATGTAATCAGGTATCATTCGATATCAAAATAATTATATCTAGTTCACATATTTTGGCTCTCTATTACACCCCTGTTGAACCTTGAGAGGCTTTCCCACGTAAATTTATACACCTACCTACATAGATAGGAGGAGTATGTAAGTACGTCTATTTATACTTCAAGCCATAATGATTTAAAAAAATGTGTGAACATATAAATTTTAGACATTTAATTATAGAACCAATATAGAGAATCTCCTCGTAGGTAGGATCAAAAAATGGTAAAAGTTCTTTTTCATTACTTGTTTTTTCCCAGGTGGAAAATCTACGACGATCTTAAGTGCTAAACACACTTTGTAACTAATGACCCTTTCCAACAAATAAAGATGAATAGTCACTGATTTTAACGGCGATGAGTAGTTTTGACTGCAAGGATAGCGTAGTGGTTTAAGCGGTCGCCACGCCGCTTTCTACTACGCTGAGTGTTGTGGGTTCGATCCTCACAAGGGACAACACTTTGAGTGTTCCACAAATTATTTTTCTGAGTCTGGGTGTTATTTGTATACATTTTATGTATGTTTGTAAAGTCCGACACAGGAAGTATTTCTAGAGCGGGAGTAGTCTTTAAAAAAAAAAACAAAAAAAAAAAGTTATCTAATACTTAGAGTCCTGTATTTCGTTTTCAGTAAAAGTAAAACTAATTTTCATGAAATTCAATGTTATTAGTTACTGATGGCGATATTCATTAATTTATTTTACACTATTACAAAACATTAAAACATGTCTTAATTTAAAATACAAGCAAATCCTAATGTAGCAGTTCAGTTCAATGAAACTATTATTGCAATTTGAAATATATAGTTAAAGATCATTTTAGGTTTTAAAAACAGTTACTTTCTAATACTAAGTTTAAAAAAAAACAAATCACGAAGAATGTTTTAGAAATAAAAATTCTAAATCAGCTCCAGGGTCTGATGGTATATAAAAATGACCATCAGTGCGTAAACACCATCTAAGTATATTAGGCAAGATCTGGTCGAGCAAAGAAATACCAACAACCTTTACAAAAGCTAATTTTGTCCTCATTCCTAAGAAAAGTGAAGTAATAGATCTCAGGGACACTAATAATAAAAAATAATAAAGAAAGGGTTCATGCCCGGAATCTCTGTATGTCTGGAACATAACTCATTACTTGCGGAAAGTATCAAAAATGCTAGGAAAAATGAAAGGCAAATTACAGTCTATTGGATAGATTTAGAAAACGCCTTTGGTTCAGTACGACACGAGCTCATGTTATTTGCCTTGAAATGGTAAGTTTGTGAAATAATTGCATCATACTACAGTATTTTAAATCATATTTTAAATATGTAATCACAACTAAACAGGTACATACAAAACCCTTCGAATACAGAGTAGGGTTGTTCCAAGTTTGCTGCTTATTACAAGTAGTATTTAATACAGTTTTAAATATATTAATATACGATATCGCAATACATGAAAAGAGGTGGGCTAACGGTTTAAGGTCAATAATAAATATATGGAATCCATTTTAGTATTCACAGACGACCTTGCGATCCTCACACGGAAACCGAAGCATTGTTAAGAAGTACTGCGTAAGGTGGATTACTTCTGAACCTGGACAGGTGGAATGAGGACAAAAGCTAGCAAATGCTATTGCCTTTGTCTGGGACGGCGAGTTACCAGATATACCTCATATGACCCCGGGTTTGCTATTGGTGGGAAAGTGTTTCAATAATACCAGAAACCGTGCCTTTTATATTCCTTGGAACAAAGATGACTACAGAGGTCGTACTCTATCTATGAACGCAATAGTCGACGACTTCGTAAAAGACATTGACAAGGTACACCAACAGCCAATGAGTAACGTAAATAATTCTTAAACGACAACTTCTTAACATCGCGTCTCAACTGGCCGTTTCTGGTATACGATATAAACCAGAACCACTTAAGAACACTGGACGCGAAAGTCACTAAGACATTGAAGTCGTGGCTCGGGCTAGCAACATCAGCAGACCCGTCAACGCTGTTAAGGGGCTCGAATAACTTTGGAATGAAATTATAAAGACTTTCGGAACTCTACAAACACTTTTAGTTACCAGAGTTACCTTGTCAAAATCACAAGACGAAATTGTTAAATCCCTTCCAAAATTTCCAAAAAGACAAAAAATCATTATAGCTCGAGTCACGGCTCCAATTCCACAAGAAATTCATGGTGGGACGCAGTCCAGTAGTGTTGGATTTTGAAATGCTGGAAGACAGGCCGACAAAGAGATAACAAAATGTTTCCTACAGCAAGATGAAACCGAGGCCTAAAAGGTGCACCCAATGAACCTAGAAATGCAGAATGAATGGTTAACTCTAGGAGAATTTGTATCCCACCAGCTTTCAAATGGCGCACACTTTTATACGATTGGTCACCTGCCCTGTTAAAATTTTACCTCAAATGCCTTTCAATGCTGTGCGGAAATATGTACAGCTAGGCGAATAGGTACATTGACAGGTTATAAGGCGCTATTAGACCGGGGTCATTATTCACGTCGCCATGATAGGGTCTTACAAATCATACGCGAAGTACTATAAGTTTATCAAATCAAAATACGGAGAATCTTTCAATACCTCTGATTTAGTATTCGACCTTGTATTCGCCTTCAGGGAGTTGGGATATAAGTAGTCATGTATATACTTATACATTCACATCATACACACACATACGCATAGAAACTCACTTGCAGATACATCGTAATCATATTATTCTATTAACACTTCACTTCATGCATAATTTCGCCGTTTATTTCTATGGGATTTTCGTATATTAACCTTGCTTAGATAAAGTTAATATTGCTTTTATACATTCTCACTGGTTATTTAATACTTGTTTATACTGAGGCTGGCGGGCCCTCATGCCCTGTAAAAGAGATTTTAATAAATCTACATCAGGTACCAGTCTCTCACGTTAGTTTTGGGTGTTGTGTTGTATACTTGTACTTTTTCGAAGAAAAGTGAAAATAAACTCATTGTGAAGAGAAATAAAAAAAAAACCTTAAAAGTAATAATAATAATTAGTAAAAAAACCGGCCCTAGTGCGAGTCGGACTCGCGCACGAAGGATTCCGTGATGTAAGGGGGGGGGGCCTTAAATAATTGTTTTATTTTAATTAACTATTTATTTTAAAGTGAATTTATAAATAAATATTCTGTGAATATTTCAAGCGTCTACCTGTTACCGTTACCAATATCGAACAAAACGAGCAGAAAAAACACGTTTGTTGTATGGGAGCCCCCTTAAATATTAATATAATTCTGTTTTTAGTATTTGTTGTGATAGCGGCAACAGAAATACATCATATGGGAAAATTTTAACTATCACGGTTCATGAGATACATCCTGGTGACAGACGTACAGACAGACAGACGGAACGACGGACAGCGGAAGTCTTAGTAATAGGGTCCCGTTTTACCCTATGGGTAATTAACACAAATTACAAAATTGGGTACACTTATTGTTAGACATACAACCACGCCGTCTAATAATTTTTGATTGAAAATTTATTGAATAAAATATCAAACATCTATACAAAGATGTGACATGCCCTTACTGAGTATGTAAATCAAGATTGGATATGACGATATACGTAGTATGCATGTGTCGATCTTCATGTAAAATGGCGGGCCTAAAGGAGAAGCCCATCTGAAACCCTAGCAGAAGCAGGCCGGGGTGATGGCGAAACGCGCTGCGGAGCACAAAGGGGACATAGGAGTTCCCACACAGGGGGGCGTAATTTACTGTGGGTAAACTGGTACCCGAGACGGCGTGCGGTTTTTGGTCGTTTCGAGTCCGACATAACCACCGGTGGGTGGTATCCAAGGGGATTTCCGCACAAAAAAAAGAAACCTCTAAAGGAGAAGTACTCGCACTCATACACTTTTTCCTAGTAACCATCTTTGAACAAAACAAAACAAATGAATTTGCCTTGAATGGTAAAGGTAACTTTAAAATGTCATTAACTTGTGGTTTTTTGTCTCTTGTTGCTTTCTGTCAAAGTTCAAGGGCCTCTGAGTTTGTGAAAGAGTTCTTTTATGTTGAAATGCCAAGTAACTTTTTTTAAATGTGAAAGAAAAGTTCTAAAGAAAAACGTTTCATGATGTTTAATTATTTTCCGCATTTCAAGCTAGGTTTGTTGGTTCTATTTCCTTGATATTAAAATACTAGGTGTTTATAATTCTAATATTATGATTATACCTGGAAATATATACGTTTTTAAAATTAATTAGTTCTGTTTAATAAGGCTAATATTTATTGTCTGGTATCTGTGTGTGTATGTGTGCTATAATAGCCTCTTTCCTCAAACCGAGGTTTGCGGCTGAGCGGTGTGTGAGAATCGAACCGACTAAAACGACACGGTGTGCCACT